GCTCCCATGCCTGCTGGGAGTGGGAAGGGAAGATCCAAGTGGATCCAGGGTGTCCTCACTGCTCCCATCCCTGCTGGGAATGGGAAGGGAATATCCAAGTGGGGGTAGAGTGGGAAGGGAAGATCCAAGAGGATCCTGGGAGCAGCAGGATGAGGACACAACTCCCAGGAATCCACCCCAACTCCAGCTGTGTCCCACAGGGTGTGGGAGGCTCAGATGTGGACGTGTGAGCGTTGGCCCACGCTCAGGGGACGCTGCCAGGTAGGATGGAACATTCCTTCCCTACCCATTTAGGCTGGAAAACCCTTCTGATCCCATTCCCAGCTCCATTCCCACCTCTGGATCCAATCCAAGCCCTCAGTGTCCATCCTGTCCCCCCAAACACCCCAAGATTTGGGGCTGTGGCCTCACCACGTGGGGCAGATGTTGCTTCCAGTATCCTCAGGGACACACACATGGGGTTGTGGCACCAATCCCTCATTCCCAGCTGCTCCCAATCCTGTTCCCAGGGCTGGGAGTGGGTGCTGGGATGTCCCTGTGTCCCCCAGACAGGATGCTGGAGCCCTGATGGCAGCAGATTGCTCTTCACTGTGCTGGGAGAGTCTGTCATCTACTCCTTGTCCTTCTCCGAGTACAGAGGTGAGTCTGCCCTGAGCTGGAGCTTCCCAAGGGCTGGGCTGGGTGTCCAGGTGATCCCTCTGGGATGGGACACACAGGGAGGTGTCTTAGGGGGTTTGGAATCTCTGGGCTTGGGGTTTTCCTTCCTTTGTGTTGCTTCTCTGTTGTGGTCACAGAGGGTTTGAAGGGAGAGTCCAGTGGATCCAGGGTCAGCTCAGAGTTTATCCTGCTGTTCCCTTGTCCTTCATCCCAGTGCTGAGATTTTTCCTGCTGTTCCCTTGTCCTTCATTCCAGTGGAGAAGCTTATCCTGGTGTTTCCTTCTCCTCCATCCCAGTGCTGAAGTTTTCCTGCTGTTCCCTTGTCCTCCATCCCAGTGGAGAAGCTTTTCCTCCTGTTCCCTTGTCCTCAGTGCTGAGATTTTTCCTGCTGTTCCCTTGTCCTTCATCCCAGTGCTGAGGTTTTTCCTCCTGTTCCCTTGTCCTCAGTGCTGAGATTTTTCCTGCTGTTCCCTTGTCCTTCATCCCAGTGCTGAGGTTTTTCCTCCTGTTCCCTTGTCCTCAGTGCTGAGATTTTTCCTGCTGTTCCCTTGTCCTCATTGCTGAGACTTTTCCTGGTGTTCCTTGTCCTCCATCCCAGTGCTGAGATGATTTTTCTTCCTGTTCCCTTGTCTTTCATCTCAGTGGAGAAGCTTATCCAGGTGTTCCCTTGTCCTCCATCCCAGTGCTGAGATTTTTCCTACTGTTCCCTTGTCCTTCATCCCAGTGCTGAAGTGTTTCCTTGTCCTTCATCCCAGTGCTGAGGTTTTTCCTCCTGTTCCCTTGTCCTTCTTCTCAATGCTGAGGCTTTTCCCAATGTTTCCTGTCCCAACCACAGAGAAACAAACACATTAACAATCCCTCTGTAAATTTCCTGGGATTTATGGAGCAGAACCCCCTGGGGGAATCCTTGGAGCAGGGAATGAGCAGGTTATTCCCTCCCTAGGAGAGATGCAAGGCCAAGTAGGAGGCTCCAAAACAGCTTCCATCGTGGCAGATCTGTCTGAGACCACCTTTGAGACCCTCCACGGGGAGGAGAGGTGAGTTTGGGGGGTCCTGGCAGCTCTTCCCAATGTTGAGACCCCCCCAGGAAATTTCACTGGAGATTTCCCTGCTGCTTCCAGGATTGGAGGAGAAGTTCACTCCATGGTGTGGGATCCAACCGGAGAACGACTTGCCGTGATCCTCCGAGGTGAGTCCTACCTGCTCCTCAGCCTGGAAAAACTTTTCCAGCAGAAAAAAAAGGGACACTAAGGGGCTTTGTGTCCATGGGATATGGGAAAATTTCCCACTCCTCATTCCCTCAGGCCATCCTGACTCTCCAGGCAGCCAAACAGTTGTGGCTGTGTTTCGTACCTGGAACAGCCCCGTGTTCGAGCTCCTGCCCTGGTCAGTGCTGGGGGGGCTTTTTTGGGGGGTTTGGCCTTTTTTAGGGGG